CATAATCCAATAGCCTAAGTTGTGAACCACAGTTTGGCTTAGGATTCGTCGTTCCATCGATAAATCGATCTGATGCACCGTCGTTCCAATTTTTTAGACCAATTTTGAGACACCCTGATCTACGGTGGGCACCGACGGTCCATCGTTCCCTCTACGACCCATAGGTACTACCCGTAGGTCCCAAAAATAGTCACTGTCCAAAATGTTTTTTTAAGTTCAAAATTTATTTTGTTTCTTTTTCTTGGTTTGTATTGAGTAGTTTGAATACTAACATGTGTCCCACAGGTATAATGGCGCCAAGGCAAGCACAGACCTACCAATGCAAGTATAATTCCAAGTCAGTGGCACCCTCGGCTCGACAACTTATTGATGGTGAAGCTGAATCTAGTGCCAGTGAGTCTTAATTTAACTTGGGCACGACTAGGATCTCTCCTACGGCACCTCTGACTATGAGGAAACGGGCGCGATAGATTATCTTTTATGATGACCATTCATCTAGTCATGATGATTCCCTAGTCTAATGAGGGGGGCATCTTTTGAATTCTCAGAATAGGGAGTCGTAGTCCAACTCTTGCTCTGATTTAGAAGCAGCCTTGGCATGTAACGTCATAAGTATGGGATTAGCCCATGATCCTCCCGGTACTTGATATGAGTCAGTACTCTTATATATGGAATCGAAAAGATAGTGCGTCCCCAGGATGTACCAAATTTATGAGGATGGGATTTTTGTCAATGAGCATAAAAAGTTTGCCTGGACCATTACTGATGAGTGATGGGTACTTACTTGGAGCCTCCACACGGTGCCATAGATTCATGAACTATTCAAACGGTACAGATGCAAGTGGATGGCGGAGAATCTGAGCAAGTATAGACAGTGATGGAGTTTTATGATTCCTATGCAGCTACTGTGGAGAATGCTAAGCCATTGGCTCACCCTCCATTGCTGACTATGTCGATGTAGGGTATCCCTATTGACCTATCGGAGACCACCATCCACTATTTTATTTACTGCCAGACCTATGCTTAGTCGATTAATACAGTTGAGTTTGATTATCGGATGGGGATAGTGCAGAGCAGGGCTTTTATGGGGACTCCGAGCAGGAAGAAGCTTACTTCGATGGATAGATTACCACATTACTGAAGAAGCAGAGAGCACTGACTGGGTACATGATATGACACTGCCTATCCAGAAGGTGACCTTCAGCTTTGCAGCCAAGTTTTGGTGGTCCATCATACGGGCCAGATTCTCCGCCCACACAAGTGGACATATTGTGACTTGGACCCGGCAGTTATGATTGCGGCACTGATGGCGGGACTAAAAAATTAGTTTCACCTCGATTATTATAGCTGAGACACATGAGAGGGCTTTTTGGAGGATGACCACCATGCCTTTACCCTTCCTCATTCTCCTTCTTTATAGAGAGGCTATTGTGTCGGTTTGGCACTGTGACAGGCTGATTGAGGTGACCAAGATGGTCGACATGGGACTGATAAAAGATGATGCAAATCCAGCGGCTCCTGGAAGTTATACAGGTTGATTTGTCAACTTTGGTGGTGATATTGAGGTTGAGGTCGAGTGGGCATATGATTTATTCTCTCCTCTAGTGCGGAAATCGATGTGCATGTTCCCTTATCTAATTCATCCGGCCAGGATACTAGCACACCTCATGCTCCTACCCTTTTGGGTTTTTCATGTTGCCCCTCACTCGAGTCCAAAAGTTGGAGACTCAAATGGCCACTCTTTTACAACATATTTGACCATAGATGAAGAATTTTGTTGAGGAGTCAGAGGCACGGAAGGAGGCAGCAGTTGATGTAAAGATCCAGGCGGTGCATCAGAGGATTGATGCATTTGATCTTAAGATGATGGAAAGGCCTCAGCCTAGGGCCACTATTGATATGACTATTTTTCAGTCGAATTTGGCCAATCTCTAGGCTGACATTGATGCCTTAGCAGCTCCAGAGGTGGATGTCCTAGAGTTTGCACCAGAGAAGGATGACGGTGATGTGGTGTTGAGTGTATTATTTAGAGGGAACACACCTTCTCTTGAACCTCCTCTCCCCTTGTTTGGCTGGAAAGAACGCACATACTTATGAGCCAACTACTGATCTAGAGGAGCTAAGACGGGCCAGATTGAGGGAGAGGTAGCAGTTTGAGGCAGCCCAGTGAAAATCTATACTTGATGAGGAGTTGTGGGGGCAGCAGAGAGCGAGGGAGTTGGTTGTGGATACATCTGCATCAAGGAGCACTACTGATGGTGTTCCCACTATTATTGAGGGTGTTACTGAGGGCATCACTTTTGATGATCCAGCGTGTTCCGGGCAACCAAACCCAACCACTTCTTGATGGGTCTTCGGGGCTTATGTGCCACAAGTTTGTCTCATCATATATATCACATTCCTTTGTGTATTGAGGGTAATTGCACCATATTTTTGTGGGGGTGGGGTCAATAGATTGTCAGTGTTAGAGTGAAATCTAAACAACCTAACTCACAATCCTTCCTTGTGATTTTCTTGCCTATGTTCTTTTTCCCCAAGGAACTGGTTTAATTTATGTTGAATTGGCATGTTTAGGATAGTATAAGTGTAAAAGTAGACCAAATGAAAGCATGATGGCAAAAGAGCATGTAAATTGATGCCCCTCCAAATGTTTGTGTGCTATATATGTGTGTTTGATGAGTTGAATGTTTTGGATCTTTTTATGACATGAAAGGAACCGATATTACAACTTGACTTAAGCTATAACTTGAACCAGATACATTAATCATTTGATAGTGAAACAAGGTGCATGTGTGTGTGAGGCTGTTTGTTTATTCATATATCGCGTGCCAATCTAGAAGTTGCCCCATTAGTATTGCTAAGATGATTAAGACTGGGAACTGGAAAATAATCATAAGCCATTGTTGATAATGAGTCCACTAAAGCCTAAAAAGCATCCAACCAAATGAAATAAATGCTCCCTACAAACCAAATGTTTAAGCTTAACGAATACCATTTTTTTCAATACCTTCCCTGAAAATATGTGTCTCCCTAGTCCCTGATTCCCCTTGAAGATTGTTCACCTCAACTCTGGCTAAAACCCTAAGTTGACGTCAGAAATTTGCCTTGATTTTAGCTCTGGTCCTCACTAGGATATTGTGAACCCCAACTCATGCAAAATACATAAGTTGAGGGTGACTATTGTGAAGATAAATAACAAAGAAAGGGTATGAAAAGAGTCATTTGTAGAGAAAGAAATTATGAGCAAAAATGTAGAGAAGAATGGTGTGACCGAACAAAAAAAACAAAAGAATGATAATGCTTGAATAAAAGGATAAAGAAAATATGAAACAAGCAATAATGTCAAACAAAAATTACACCTACGCTTAAATAAATCATAAAGAGAAAAGCCGAAACAAGGGGAAGTTAGAATTGGTTCTAAAAGAGGTAAAATAGCCAATGTAATTTCAAGGAGGGTAAAAAAGTCACTTAATATCCAAATATACCTCACCAGACCCACAACCTATGTTACAAGCTAAGAAAGTCCTATAGTGATCATAAGTAACCAGACTGGAAAGTTAAAGCGTGGAAAATAAGGGCAAGCCTATGGCATTGAGCACAAACTGTATTTGAATTCACTTCTGAGTGTGATTGTTTACCGATTCCCTAACTAAAACATCAAATATTGTGTGAAAAAAGGGATTTCTTTGCGGTAAGGGCAAAAGTTTCATTGTTAAAGATTTATTATCTTGGTGATTGTTGTTTGTGTATATGAATGTGTCTATTGGTGTGTCTATGTCATGAATTGATCTGTATGAGTTAGCTTGTTAAGTCTAAATAAAATGATTTGTACTGTTCTGAAAATATTTAAGAGGGTGATTTTTCAAAAATGTCATGTGATTGTTTGAGAAGATTTTTTATCCTATATATTATGCGAGCAAGTCTTTGAATGTTCCTCAAAAGAACTACACGGTCACTGAACAGGAATTACTTGTTGTAGTCTTTCTGTTTGAGAAATTTAGATCATATTTGTTGGGCACTAAAGTCATTCTACATACTAATCATTCGGCATTATGGTATCTTATGGAAATGAAGGATGCAAAACAAAGACTAACTGGATGGGTATTGTTGTTGTAAGATTTTGATTTTGAGGTTACATAGAAAGGGGAAAAGAAACCAAGTGGTTGATCACTTGTCCAGATTAGAATTAGAGGAAATGATGAAGTTAGATGATGGATTTGAGATAAATGATGTGCTCCCCGTGAACAGGTATTGGCTGCTTCTTTTGATCTTATCCCTTGGTTCACAGATTTCGTCAATTATTTGGAAAGAGATGTGGTGCCTTCGAATTTGTCATTCCACCAAAGAAGGAAATTTATGTCTGATGTGAAGAAGTTTTTCTGGGAGGAGCCTTACTTGTTTCATATATGTGCTGATGGGATTATTCATTGTTGTGTGCCTGAGGTTAAGATGATGTGTTTATTGGAGGATTGTCATTCGTCTCTTGTTGGTGGTTATCATAGTGGTATCCGTACTACCCATAAAATATTGTTACGTGGGTATTATTGGCCTACTATTCACCAAGATGCTCATGATTTCGCCAAGTTATGTGATCGCTGCCAAAGAGAAGGAGCTATTTCAAAAAAGCAAGAACTCCCAATGATTCTTATACTAGTTATTGAGTTGTTCGATGTCTGGGGTCTTGATTTTATGGGTCCATTTTTGAGCTCGAATGGAATGAAGTACATACTTGTAGTGGTTGTTTATGTACCTAAATGGGGGGAAGTTGTTGCGCTTTCAAACAATGAAGGAAGAGAGTCACTACATTTCTGAAAAGAGTATTTTCTCTAGATTTGGTACATCATTATTAGTGATGGAGGTTCCACTTTTGTAATAGGTTATTCAAGGCATTGCATGACAAGTATAGTGTTCTTCATAGTGTAGCAACTTCTTATCATCCGCAGTCTAGCGGGCAAGTGGAAGTATAAAATAGAGAGATCAAGTAGATTCTTCCAAAGACTATGAATGCAAAAAGAATTGGTTGGTCAAAAAAGCTTGATGATGCTCTATGGGGCTATCGCACCATGTTCAAGACTCCCATAGGTATGTCCCCCTACCAACTTGTGTTTGGGAAGTCTTGGCATTTGCCTGTAGAGTTAGAGAATAAAGTGATATGGGCACTCAAGAAGCAGTATTTGGATTGGGATGTTGAATCAAGTCAAAGGTTGAATGATTTGAATGAGCTCAATGAGTTTCACCTAAAAGCATATAAAAGTTCAGCTTTGTACAAGCAGAAAATGAAGAGGTACCATGATCAAAATATCTAAAAGCGTTAGTTTGTTCCTGGTGATTTGGTTCTCTTATTCAATTAAAGGTTGCGGTTGTTTCCTGGCAAGCTCAAGTCCAAGTAAGTTGGGACGTTCAAAGTGGTAAAAGTGTTTTCACATGGAGCAGTTGAACTAGAAAATAAGAAAGGAACGAGGTTCAAGGTGAATGGTCAACGGATCAAAGTCTACATAGGCCAACAGGAAGAGGTCAAAGAGGTGATCGAAGAATGGGACATTGATAAGTTTGAGTAATTAAAGGGCTTTACGTCGTGTTGCTATGTTAAATCAAGCGCTACTTGAGAGGCAATTCAAGATGTAAAATCTAGCTAATATTAGGAATTTTTCTATTTTAGTATTTTTTTAGGATATGTAATGATTTTTCTATTTTAGTATGTTTTTAGGGTATGTAAGGATTTTTCTAGTGATTTTTAGGTTTTGTCGAGTCCTAGTTTTGGCTGGACTAGGGTAGTATAGTGTATGTGTCCACAAAGACTCAAGAAAAATAAAAAAAGGAAGTTCTAATGTTTGCTACGTGTGCAAGAAATAAAAGAAGAATCTAAAAAATTGTTGGTGCAGAGGGTCTACGGTTCCCATAGACAGTCTATTTTTCCACCGATAGACCGTAGATGGCATCCGTAGATCCCACATATGTATTCTGAAAATTCATCAAGTGTTGAGAGGAACCACGACACCCATCCACGAACCGTAGTTTCAACTATGGACCATCGATGGCGTATCGTTGGTCTAAGACTGGTAAGACATGGTCGACCCGACCCGCTACCATAATAATAATAATAAAACCCTTCAATTTTATTAAACATCCCCTATTTTCCTCTTTTCCCAACCGTTACAAAACGTTTATCCTCCATATTCCGCCCCTACACATTCACGTACACCCTTTCAAACTCCCACACTTCACCTTATAAATATATCTTCTTCCCATTTCTGCCATTCCGTCATATTTTCACTTCTCCCAAATTCTTATCCTTCTCCTAAAATCAAAGGTTGTGTGGTTGGTGTCAAGTAATTTCGGTGTCAAAAAGGTCTACAGGTACACACTCACACAACTTTGTACTACTTGAAAGGTATTGATTTGAATTTGAACTTTTCAATTTGTAGTTGAAATCAAAAAGTTGCTTCTTGACCTTGCGTATAAATTAATTGTTAAATTCGATATGAATAGTTAAGAAGTACCCTTGAAATGACGGTTTACTGAGTGTTGTTGATTATTGTGATGAAAGCATGTGATTATTACATTCTAGTTGTGTTCTTGTCTTAGGGTTTCGAAGTTAATATTTGTGTATGTATGAATAGCATGATTGGAACCCTAGGGATAATAGAGTAACATTAAAATATGTTGAAATGCATGTTCTAGAAGCTCTTTGGTAGTTCAAAAAATAATATTGTGAAGTTTGGGTAAAATGTGAATTTTGATCTGAAACAGTACTGGTCCATGACCATGATCTAGGGGTCGTAGGGCAACCTACGGATCGTAGGTATGGTTCCGTTGATCAGCCACACAATCCAATAGCCTAAGTGTTGAACCACAGTTTTGCTTAGGGTTCGTCGTTCCATCGATTGACCGATCAAATGCATCGTCTGTCACGACCCGAGAGTACCCCCTAGTCGTAACATGGCATATTCGACCCCGAAGGGGTCTTATACGAGCCACATAGTCATTCATTGCATTCAATAATGAAAATAGTGCGGAATAAATAAAAAAAAAACTTATTTACATCCACACATTTAAACTTCATTAAAACAACTTTAAAAACACACAGCGAAAGTCTAAGTCTCACATGGCCATCTTAGACACAGTCACAAAACATAAGTAGGGACACGGCCCTTTACAATCAAAAGAAGTCTATTAAGTCTATTACATGAACAAAAGAACTTAAAAGTCTTATCCTCGAATCCATGAGGACATACCAAGTCTTGGAGGAAAGCAATCCAACACTTCAAACTAGCTAGGAGGGATCACTTGCCGGAACCTACACTTATAGTAAAATATGAAGAATATGGGTTAGTACACAAAATGTACTAAGTATGATGACCATGCAAGACATGCTTTAAAAGGGACATTTTGGTTAGAAACCATGCATTATGCCACTTTTTGAAGTACCATGAATAGTTGCATAAAAGACATACAATACAAGCATAAACATCAAGTAAGTCATAATATTACCTTTAAACAATTTCAACGTGAAAACCTTTACCTTGGACCTTCACCTCAAGAAACCCTTATGCTATACCTCGTGCAATGTATGGATGGCGTCCCATACCACCATCCATACTAAGGCACCACATTAAGGTCACTTAAGGTAACTTATCATTCCTTTCTTTCACCTTTGCACAATATTCATACATAAGAGGTATATCATCACTTAAGACATGACAAGGGAAAATAACTCATAATATAACCCAAGTATAGCATGCATCTCATATTAAGCATTTGAGAGCCAACATTCTTTAATAACCTCATTTAGGCCACAATTGTATCACATACATTAGGATTTAGAGAAACTCACTATGACCCTCTCCAAGCCTACTCGTGCAATGTATAGGTAGCATCTCATACTACTACCTACACTTTGTAGAACCTATCAAGAAACCATAATGAAATCTCGCATGATGGGAAGTAAGTGTTTAACCGACATAGACCATGAGAGCTTGTCATGGAATCCGGTGTCATAAGTCCCCACACCGTAAAGAGGTGGTCTACTTGCCTAAGGAAGACCGGTATATAGCTTAATGGATCCACTAGCTACCTATGCGGGCACATAGTTTATAGGATAAGGTAGACGATCATTGAAACTCATGCCTAACTATTGGGGGAGTTTCCATCTAACCAAATCCACTCGGTGCTTAGCCAACATTCCCATAGAATAGTTCGTTACCTTGACATTATCACATATGAGAGGTGCCATTGGCCTACCAACTCCAAATTACATTTATTAACACGTGAAAGGGTGCTTTAAGCCTACCGTTTCAAGGTTCATTTAGGAAAGCTCATTAACTCCTCTTGAAAGGGTGCCATGGGCCTACCGGTTCAAGTCTCATCATTAACCTTCATGGAAAGGTACCATAGGCCTACCGATTCCAAGGTTCATTATAAGCTCGTGTGGAAGGGTGCCACTAGCCTACCGATCCGAGGATTCAACAATCAACAATATAATCATTTATACAAGAAAATGATGCATAAGCCCTACCAATTCAAGGTATACTTTATATTGAAGAATCCTTCATATTCTATCATCAACATCCATGAGTGTCAAATTGAGAAATAATCTTTCAATAGCAACACCTTTACGTTCATAACATGATCACATTATCTTCATTGAATTCTCATTCATATAATGTCATGATAACACTCCAATTTCTCATACTATGCCTTTAAGGCCATGGTCACAATACATTCCATAATTAAACACCTCCACCATAAGTGGATCAAACCAAGCAAGAACAATTTTTATCCATAATATGAGATTAAGCCAACTTACCATCCTCCAAAGCCATAATAACCATTACTCAATTCCCAACAATTCTATCACCACAAGGTGATTCACCCATAATTTGCCCCATAAGGCCACAATCCTCAATTCATTCATATACCAACAATTCATCATAAATAGATATACAAAACCATATAAATCAACAATACAATCCGATCTAAACACAATTTCATCAACATTAAATCATAGGCATTAAACCCACTTCATAAGCAAATTCGAGGCTTTTAATGAAAACATGGGTTCTTGAAGGAGTTTCATATAAAATCATCTTAAAATCATAAATACAACTTCAATTCACCAATATAATGACTTTGAAAACATTTTACCCATGAACCCATACCTAGAATGGAAAATAGAAGTTTTATTCTTTGAAGACTTTTGAAACCCTTTTTAATGGACTCCTTGAAGGAAAGATGATCAAGGATCAAGGGTCACCATACCTTTGCTATGATCTCCCACGAAATTTGATGAAGAAAGCCTTGAATCCAAAGCCCTAGCTCCCACTTCTTCTTCTTCTTAATGGAGGATTGTAGAGAGGGAAATGTTTTAGGGATGGGAATTGAACTAATGGTATCTAGGAAATAATATATGTCCTTTGGAAGAATGGTACAACACTTAGAAAAAAAATGAGGCGGGTGAACAGTAACCACGCCTACTGGAAATTGCCTTTTCCTGCCAAACAGATTTTACGAAAATGGGCATAACTTCTTCGTCCGAACTCCGAATGAGATGAAACGAAGTGCGTTAGGTAGCTAACTCAAAGGGCTTTCCATGGATATATTATTGGCCACCCAAATAATTTGTGTTCAAGGAGATATGACCCTCCAAAGTAGACCCTCGAAAAAGGCTTCACTTGGAAATTTCGGATTTTGATACGGTTGCTCTAAAATTTGGGTTTGACCCATTTTCCACTCAATTTGACCCCCTAAACAAGAATATGAAGTCGGATTTTCGAAAAACGAAACGGATCTTTTTATATACAGCTAAACAAGTTTCCGGTAACTTCCGAAGCACATTTTTAAGAACTTTTTGGGTCAAATTCAGATATAATCATTTCATTAAGCTCTCGACTCCAAACTCACATGTGAGGCTCTAGTTTCACTCTATCATTTTCCGGGTCGTTACACCGTCGTTCCAATTTCTAAGACCAATTTTGAGACACCCTGACCTACGGTGGGCACCGACGGTCCATCGTTCACTCTACGGCCCATAGGTACTACCCGTAAGTCCCAAAAATAGTCACTGTCCAGAATGTTTTTTTAAGTTCAAAATTTATTTTGTTTCTTTTTCTTGGTTTGTATTGAGTTGTTTGAATACTAACAAGTCTTCCACAGGTATAATGGCGCTAAAGCAAGCACATACCTACCAATGCAAGTATAAGGCCATGTCAATGGCACCCTCGGCTCAATAACTTGTTGATGGTGAACCTGAATCCAGTGCCAGTGAGTCTGAATTTAACCCGGGTACGACTAGGACCTCCCCTACGCCACCTCTGACTATGAGGAAACGAGTCAAACAGATTGTCTTTGATGATGAGCATTCATCTAGCTATGATGATGCCCAGTTTGAGAAAGGGGGCAACTTTCGAATTCTGAGAATAGGGAGTCGTAGTCCAAATCTTGCTCTAATTCAGTAGCGGCCTTGGCATGTAATGCCACAAGTACGGGATTAGCCCATGATCCTCCTGGTACTCGATATGAGCCAGTACTCTTATCTATGGAGCCGAACAGATATTGCGTCCTCGGGATTTACCAAATATATGAGGATACGATTTTTGTCAATGAGCATGAGAAGTTTGTTTGGACCATTACTGAGGAGTGATGGGTACTTACTAGGACCCTCCACACGGTGCCAGAGATTCATGACCTATTCAAACGATACAGATGCAAGTGGATGGAGGAGAATCCTAGCAAGTATAGCTCGGAGACAGTGAGGGATTTCTACGCTTCATATGCAGCTAATGTGGAGAACGCTATGCCACCATGAGCTAAGCCATTGGCTCACCCTCCATTGTTGACTATGTTGGTGTAGGGTATCCCCGTTGACCTATCTGAGACCACCATCCACTATTTTATTTACGGCCACACGTATGCTTAGTTGCTTAATATAGTTGAGTATGAATATCGGATGGGCATAGTGCAGAACAGGGGTTTTATGAGGGAATCCAAGCAGCGAGAGACCTTACTTTGATGGATGGATGGATCACTGATGCTTATCGTAACCAATGACACTACGATATGGTATGCGTGTCTATGATCGTCGATAATATAGTAACTCAACCAAGGGTAGGGGTCGTGTCCCAAGGGAGCGGTTTTGAGAATTGATAGAAAAATAGAATTTACATTCTAACTAGTCGTAGCTAAAGATATTAATGAACAAAAACATAGTAAATAAAAGAGGGTGACACGAAAGTGTCAAATATCAAATGGGGGTTTTGTAACAAGTGATAAAACAGTAAAATAAACACGAAAATCAAGTATAGGGAAAAGTTCTTGGGATGTGAACCGCAATACAAGTTGAGATAAATTGTTGGGTGCATGCTTTCAATAGGAAATTTTTAAGACAATAGTGACTAGGCTAAGCTTTAAATGGAAATAAGCTCCCTCTCGGGCAACTTACCCCGTTTCAAATGTGTTCCTCTCGGACACCCATTTGCCGTATGAAGACCAGTCTACGCCTAACCCCACTCATTCTCTCGAGGTGAGTGTTAGGATATGGGACTAGGGCTCACCCTCTCGGGCTGAACCTCATGTTGACCCACTCCTTAGACCATCAGTCTAGTGGTTTTGGTTTTGCGACCTTCCTCTCGGGCAAGCCAAAAACACATGGGTGGCTTTGTATTTGAAACTACAAACCATTTCGATTAAACCACAACCACTAGGTGAAATCACCATTAAAATACATCTAACTTATCAGCAAACAAGACCCAACAAGAATATCAACCCATATTTGCTAAATCACACCCCAAGAATGGGGGTTTTTAGCCACACATTAAGAAATAAGAAATTATACCTACATGATAATGAAATCAACTGGGTATAAGAAATTAAACCTTAAATTAAGCAAAGGAAAATGAATAGAGAAAACCCACTTCCAAACTTGGGGAAGAAGAACTCCTTTCTTTAAGTCTCCACAAAACCCTCTCCAAACTTGAGAGAAAATACAGAAAATACTATAGATTAATAATATTTTTTTACTATAAAATGTTCCACTCCATAAAAATCTCTTAAGACTACAATGCTAACACTAGTATTTATAGTTTTCACAGATTGTGTTGCGGAGGATTGTTCGACAACATTAGTCGAGATTGCCGATGAAGTCGGCGATCCGCCTTTTGGTCAGCTCATCGCCTTCAGTGTCTTGCCTTTAGCATCCTCGCATTCTAGATCATTGGGCGGTACAGTACTGCTTCGCAGAACTGATCGGCGACTCGCCGACTGGTCCTTTCCTCGCCTTGTGATCCACTTCCTTCAAGGCTTCGCATACTGGAACGAAGGGCGGTTCATGTCATTTCAGTGACTCGCCAAGTTAAACTCGGCGATCCGCATAATTTCATTTCTTGTTCTTTTCAACCCTATTTGCTCCGTTTTGCGCCTAAGTGTCCATCAACAAAGATTTTCATGCTCGCAATACTTGCTACTTGTGCAAGTTCAAGCTCAACAAAAGTATCTAAATGTCCTCGCACAAAGAATGATTTCATATTCACACACAGATATGAGTCAAAAATAAGAACACAATGCATGTTTTCACCCATAGGTTTGCCCTTATTTTCCAATCGACTTTCGATCCAGCTTACTCAAGATCAGAAAGGTCTTTCTAAGGCTTGTAATGGGACTCAGTGCAAATGTATGGTCATTTAGCTTTAGTGACTTTTTCCTCGTGAGATGTAGTATTCTCAAGGCATTCCCTTCCTCTCCTTTATCAATTCTTTTTCTAGTGCTTCTAAGTCACCTTTTTATTCACCTTCCATGAATTGCATTGGAACCCAAATTTCTTCTATACTTTATTCCACAAATTTCGTTTTTTTGTTTTTTTTTTTAGGGTTCCATTGTTCTGCAACACTATGGGTTAAGGAAGACTTCTTATAGCACTTCTTGACTTCTCATTTTCCTTTTCACCACACCCCCAACTTAGGCTTTTTGTCCTAAGTTGGCTATTCACTAAACCACAAATCAAGAGGATTATAGGTAGTGGATCAAGTAAGGTCTAGGGTTTATCAAGGTTCTTCCAAAGAAAAGAAAGGTAAGGCTTAAAGGGTGTTCAAGAGAGTTTCACACGCTCACAGGTAGGCCACAAAAAGAGGTATATGTCAAATTGGATCACACTCTTTAAAATTGACTAAGATCATCTCAAGAGTACACCTTTCTAAATCAATCAGACTAACCGGGCAAATTCTAGGTTTATTCATGCATGGTTCAAAGTAAGCTAATCACACAAGGCATTGATACTTCGGTCAAACAAGACTAGACATGTTCGCTAGCGTGCAACGGTCCTCACAAGGAAATCAATTCGATAAATGGCTAGTCACAACGAGATACAAAGAGTGCACATATTGTCTATGTAACTTCATTTGGCCTCATCGTAGCCATGCATTTATGTTTGTTCAATTGGGAGCACTATTCAAGTCATCGGTATTGATCGAAATTGAGACTTAAATTTTTGCAAAAGAACAACAACTTTCAACACAAGAGGTGGCAAAAAAAATCGAAAGGATCAAAATTGTTTTGCAATTAAAACAACAAGAGCCATAAGCTCAAACATCCACAGAAAAACAATATTTAAAACACAACTTAAAGCAAACAACCCAAATATATACAGAACAAAACATGAATGTCAACACAAAAGGTGTGGGCCTCACCCCACCACAAATAAAAAGTGTTTGTCCTCAAATGCAAGTAATAAGTATCCAAAAGGTTAGATAAAGAAAAATAGAGAGGGAGGTAAAGAGGGGATCTTGTTTAAGCAGTCACTCCATCTGTCTGGGCATCAGTGCCCGGTGCATCTTTCTAAAGTAAAACAATGGTCCCTGGAGCATTGTCATTTTGGTCTCCACTGTTTGCCTTTGCCTTAGCCTCTACAACAAGATTTGTTGCAATCATCTGATCTATCTCCTGAGTTGCTCTGAAGGTATGTAGTGCATTAACTTAGCTCCGATCACAGAGGAGGACATTAAGATAGAGAGGAATTCATCTCTTTTCCCTAGCTTCCTTGGTGTACATTATTTTCTTGCCCATCTCGGCTCTCTTTTCCTCTTTTTCTAAATTCTCGTACTCTTACATGCCTGGGTGGGTCATCCCTCCCTGCAACTTTTGGTTTTCCCATTTCTGCAAAGGCTTTGGGAAAAGTTAGAAAGTATTTAAACAGAGCAGGAGAATGGTGCGCATATAATCACTTTGCCACACTAGTTGGTGATGTGCTCACTCACTTAGGTTAGTTATTGAAATATGTGCATAAAGGAACTAAAGGGTGCAGGCAAGAAGGGTGAATTAAATGGCTTCTCGGCGATTCACCAAAAATATTCAGTGATAGCAGGTTTCTCGTCGATTTTTACAAATTAAATAACCCAAATTTGCTTTTAATGAAAGGCGACAAGGGCAGTTAGGTGAATAGCCGAGTGATTTGGCGAGCTAAGCTCGGCTCGCTAACTAACTCAACACGCCTATGTTCTACACGATTTCCAGGCTCAACCCCGCAACCCTGGTCAAAGAAACTCAAGCCCCTATAGCACAAACTCACAATAAAACCCATAATAGTATCACACCCCCGAAGTAAATTAATTCAAATTAGAGCACAGTTGATTTGGATTCTATCAATTACGCGAAGATGTTAATCAATGATGTATGAAATGCCATCAATGCGGAGATTCAGCCAAGACATGACAATATCATCACTATGCAAATGAGTACAATTTTACTAAATTAAAAATAGGGTTTGAATTACCAACCTTTAGTGCCGAATCAGATGCTAATGAAGTGCTAGGTAGCAATGAGATCCAAATCCACGCACAATTTGACACGTATAATAATTTAGACTTGCAAGAAATATAAAACTAAAGTGCAGGTGTCAGTTTGGTAGGATGAAGAAATGAGAGAAAATGAATGAGCCAAAATATTTAAATCTATGGCCTGCAAAAATCGTCCAGTTTCTGCCCATTCGGCGATGTACATTGGGTACGCTTATTCACTCAGCGAAGCGCCAAGTGTCTACTCTCTTCGCCAAATGTAACAGGACTCGCATCTCATGTGAGGATCTCAACAGCAGTCTATATTGCAATCGCTGACATGATTGGCGATTAGCCAATAATTTTCTACTGAACGCCAAGTTTTACAGAATCTCAGCTGACATTACCTTAAGTCACCTGACGGAAAGAGTCGTGCTCACTGATATCATCGATGATCCGCTAACTAGACTTGTTGTTTACCTCCATACATTATTTCACTCTCATCCCTTCCTTCAACCTGCAAACTACACACCATTATTTTCTCAAAGTAAAACAAAGCAATAAAGGGTTTTGGGTTGCCTCCCAAATAGTGCCTTAGTTAACATCGTGGCATGACGTTAGTCCACCTTCAACTCTCACCCTTGGGGTTAGTCATAGTGTCATTAGGCAAGCCCCCTTGCTGTCTCGGATTTAGGTGAGACGAGATGTGACCCATTTGGGTCTCCAACTGCTTGATTGAAACAGAAGGGGAGGTAACGGTCTGGCTGAGGGTGGAAACATCCTCTTTCATGCCTTTCAGCAGTTTGTATGACCCTTCAACTTTATTGAGGATGCCCGAAAGCATATCCTCATACCTACTACTCTCCGAGTCCTTTGGCTTTTGGCGTTCGTGGGGAGGCACATATTTATCTTTCTCCCCATCTTTCCAATTAGGATTTCGGTCTCTCCATTCTCGATCCTTCCATCCTTCATCTCTAGCCCAACCTTTATTTCCATAGTGCCTTAGGTAATTTGATCGATAACCACCACCTTGGTTGGCTAGGAA